CTGTAATGCTCTCTACATGGGGCTGCCTTTGTCGTTGATCCAGAAGCTGCAGCTAGTGCAGAATGCGGCGGCTAGGCTGCTGATGGGCCTCCCCAGGTGGGAGCACATCAAGCCTGGGTTGAAGGCACTGCACTGGCTGCCTATAGCATACCGAGTCCGCTTCAAAGTGCTGGTACTCACCTTTAAAGCCCTATATGGCCTGGGTCCGACCTACCTGAGTGCTAGGCTGCTGATGGGCCTCCCCAGGTGGGAGCACATCAAGCCTGGGTTGAAGGCGCTGCACTGGCTGCCTATAGCATACCGAGTCCGCTTCAAAGTGCTGGTACTCACCTTTAAAGCCCTATATGGCCTGGGTCCGACCTACCTGAGGGACCGCCTTTCCCCATACATACCCCCAAGAGCACTTCGGTCGGGGACCCGGAACCAGCTGGTAGTTCCGGGGCCCCGAGAGGCAAAGTTCGCTGTAACAAGGGCCAGATCTTTTTCAGTGGCGGCCCCTACCTGGTGGAATGAGCTCCCGGAGGAGATCAGGGCCCTGCGGGACCTTATGCAGTTCCGCAGGGCCTGCAAGACGGAGCTCTTCCACCAGGCTTTTACGTAGGGGCCGCCGCTGCCACCACTGCCACCACTACTATCAACGGTGGCAATACCATCGTAGTTGGAGTGCCCTTGGAAATTCAGCTATAAGAACTATGTGACAATGAGAACAGTGGACGGGTTCGGGCTATTTCTTGGACAATGGTCCCCAATTGGGGGCTGCTGGAAGTCATTGTAAAACAACATAAGATCATCTGATAAAAGGAAGCACTTTATTGTCATTATTAACTGTAATGTTTTGATTATATTTTAAAAGTTTTATTGGTTTTATGTATGGGCTATGCCCCCTTTGTAAGCCGCCCTGAGCCCGCTTGCGGGGAGGGTGGGGTAAAAATCTTCAAATAAATAAATAAAATAAATAAAGTTGAATTCAACTTCAAGGTGTCAATTGCATATTCTTTGGAAAAGCAGTGATGGAGAAATGGTAGCTGTTGGGGGATGGGGTAGGGAAAACAGTCTTGATGTAGTGGAACTGGGAAGATCTGGACTTTGTCACTCACATAGGTGCCACCCTGACTGTGCTGTGATCTCTGTCATGTTAACATGTATACTTTGCTTCAGTTCTGTTCGTTAGACTTCTGGCTGGTTTTACAACCCAAATCCTATCTTGTTGTTTATTGATTGTCCTATCTTGTTGATTATATTGACTCACTCTGTGTAATCCACCTTGAGTCCCAGGGAGAAAAGCAAACTATAATTCAATCTATTCATCAATCAATCAGTCTTTCCCCAAACATCACAGCCAAGCAGGTTTGGGAAATATCTCAGAAAAGATGGGGAAAAGCTAGGAAGTACATGGAAGTATGACATCGTGATGGGGATGTTGGGGTGGGAACCCTGTTCTCAAAAGCATCCCAGCCAAGGCAAACAATCTATATGTAAGTGACCATTATTTAGTAATTTCACTGTGGTAAGAGTACAGTTCCTCCATTTCATATTCTGTGTTCCAGAGGGCTTAATTTTTAAAAGTTTATAGTAACAAATGTTACTGCCCCTTTATGATATGCATCATGAAACAGGAAATGCTACCTCTGCTGAAGGCAACTGCAGGCTTGTAATGACTTTAAAACTATGAAGATTATTATGACATTAGTTCTCATCATTCGGAATGGGTACCTGAGGGACATTAGTTCTCATCATTCGGAATGGGTTAGACTCTTTGTGAACATTTCTACCACCTTGAGTTCATTAGTCTTTAAGGCTATGGTGACTGCTTACACCTTTCCTGGTCCCTGTCAAGTGTTTTTGGAAAGTGAGTGGGGCCGAGTGGAGCTATTGGTTACTGGAGATTTGATTGACTGTGGAGATTTCTTAAAAAAGTTGCTTTGGCAGCAGCTGCCATTAGAACACAAGCATCTTTGTGGCATGACTGAAGGTAAGCTGTGGCAGCCATTTTGTGACAGGCCACACCCCCCGCAGCAGCCATTTTGTGGCTGCACCTACCACACTGTGTCAGAATTCCAAAGGGGCCCACAGACACAGAAATATTGGAGACCCCTGCTCTACCGTTTTGGCTGCAACACACAACGACCCTTCCAAACATCAAAAGAAACTTATTGGCCAAATTCTTCTACAGAGTTCCTCCCTCAACACTGAGCAGCCAAGGGCTTCAATAGGAAGGGTCTTTGTCTGTCTTGCCAGAGCCTACCTTTCTAGCATGTCTCCAGTGCTTGTGGAAGGGAAAGCCCCTGTCCACTGCATTAGGGAGACCCAAGACTGACTTGCCTGGGCAGTTGTGAGGGAATCCACAGAATCCTTTCCACTCAGCAGAGAGCAAAAGGCACAAGCCCTGCCTGTCAGTGGGAAAACAAGGAGCTATTTACTGTTGGAACAAAGCAAGAAGAGAACTTTCCCTCTAGAAATTTGAGCAGGCCAGCCCACTGGGTGCTGAGCTGCAGACACCCCCAGCACTTATATAAAAGAAGGTGTTGCTCTTCATGACGAATGCATAAATGCATTTAGAGGGTAAAAAGAACTGGATCAGTGAAGCATGGTGATGTGTTTCCCTTGCCCTTTCTTTCCCCCTGTGCTCCAGTTTTGTGCATGGGAAATAATTTAGTGGATGGGGAACTTAGCTGGTGTGATTCACCCGCTTCTCTGCAGATCACAGCTCCTTTGCTCCATTTCCAAATTCTGCAAACACCATTTTCAAGATCTGTGGGGCCGATGTTTATTCTTAGTAAAAGAGTCAGCACACGGCTTGCATGCTCTAAACTCATGAGTACCCGTAAGTGGCATTTGTTTTCACAGATTCCCGCAGAAGAGTAAAGGTGAGGGTAATGGATTAGCTCCATTGTGTCTTGGCAGTAGAATATTCACACTGAAATTGTTGTTTGGAGGAAGGGAGGAAGGGAGTCAAGAATGCTTGACTCAGACAAAACGCTAGACTATGGTTTGGGGCTATGTGACCACTGAGCCTTGCATGTGCCTGCAAGCTCTCTCCTCTGCTGTTCTCATCAAACAGTGTGTGAGCCAGTTAATTTCTTTAGAGTAAACCCTAGCTTGCCATTAATTTGATCCAGCAACCATTTGCACTGACCTTCCAAGCATGACGCTGTTCTACACTATGCAATGGAGCAAGGAGACAGCATTAGATACTGGGTTGCTTTGGGACTTTTGCATTAGGTAAAACTAGGCCATGTTCCTGCTGGTGGTGGGAGATGCCCCACACCCTTCTTCTGCTGCTGCCTGCCACTGCTTAGCTGGGCGATGGGAGGAAAATGGCTGGCGAAATGAGTGCAGTTAGTGCCCCAATGTGATGACACAACTTCCAGTGTGACCCAGGAGTGACATTATCCTGTTGTGTGCCACTCTGGCATTCACCCCAGTCTCTACGGTTAAAACATAGAACTTGGGGTGAATACTAAAGTGCCTCCCCAGCGCAATGTCATCACTTCTTATTTGTGCCTCCCCACTTAAGTGTAACTTCCTGCTTCCCCCATCTCTCAATGTGAAACCCCAGGGTTTTCCTTCTGGAACTTCTGAAAAGACTTCTTTACTTCCCCTGAAGTGGGAAGAGTTGTGGCTCATCCATTTGGCACGCAGAAGGTCTCAGTTTGAAGCCCTGGCATTCCCACTTAAAAAGTCAGACCCATCCAGCTGTTTTGCTCAACCTCAGTCAATTCCCTTTATTATTATCACCTCCTGCATGGCTTTTGTTCAACAGGTCCCATAATGCCCTGCATGGTGGCATTTTTGGTGATCAGAAGGGACCCTTCCACTTTTCACCTATGGAAAAGCTGGCTGGATTTAACCCACTAATAGCTGTTGTTGGGAAAGACTGTTCTTTACCTGAGAGCTGCTGGTGGTCGGAGTAGACAGTACTGAACTAGGTGGACCAATGGTATGATTCAGCATAAGGCTGCTTCATATGTTTATATACGTCCAGCTGCCAGAGCTACAATGGAAGAAGAGGAGGCTATCCTCATGTTTGATATGTCAAAGAAAAAGTGGCATCATATTCCAGTTAATGGGGATTGGACTGTTGGTTGCTATTTCTACCTACTATTAGGTTACAAAGGCTCCATATCATTTTTTAAAATTGATTCCCTTGGATCAAAAATAGGAAGGTACATAATTGAAACATCATTTGAGTTACATGTCCCTGATTTGGACACAAGGTGATATCATATGAGGCCCATATAGTTCATCCTTGCCTTGAGTCACTGATATTTATCAGAACATAATTTTCATGTGGACCTATATTGACTAATATTATTATGGCAATAATTGACCCTGTGTGTAACATTTATGCTTGACTGCTGAAGAAGGCCAGTAGACCAAAACGCATCTGTTTTAGGGTTGTGTAAGGTCCTAATTGTGAATATTTATGATTGGAATTCTTATTGAGGCTAAATTTGGGGCTACAACTGTTTTTAAACCAATTTGTAATAAATAACTTTATATTTTGTATCATTTGTATTATTCATATAGTGATGTTTTATACATATTGAAATTTATATTGGGCCCCTTAATTTGTATCCAATTAATCTTTTTGGTTCTTAATTTGCCATTTCCACACCAACTTACTGGAGAGTGTATCACAAGGCCGAGAGGCTGGTTGTGAAGGTGTCTTTTCTCTTCACTTAATAAAGATCCCTGAAGGGAGACTCACTTGAGGGAATCTCAGTTTCACATCCTAAAGCAAATTTGGCATAATTACTTCAAAACCTATACTGGACAAATAACTTGTCATTCATCTTCTTTTTATTTTTACAGTGGCTGAGAAAACTAAAGAACAGGTATCAAACGTTGGGGGAGCTGTAGTGACCGGCGTGACAGCAGTAGCGCAGAAGACTGTGGAAGGTGCCGGAAACATTGCTGCAGCCACCGGCTTCGTCAAGAAAGACCAGCTGGCCAAACAGGTTACTTTAACCGCTGCTTCTTTTTAAAATGAGTTGCGTATAGGGTTCCCAACCTCCAGGTAGTGGCTGGAGATCTCCTGCTATTACAACTGGTCTCTAGGCAACAGAGATCAGTCCACCTGGAGGAAATGGCTGCTTTGGGAGGTGAACTCTCGAGCATTATACCCCACTGAAGTCCCTCCCCTCCTCAAACTCCTCCCTCCTCAGGCTCCACCCCCAAAATCTCCAGGTATTTCCCAACCTAGACTTGACAACCCTAGTTGAATATCACATGGTGTGTGCCCTTTTAAAATAAAAACTATCAAGAAAGCTCTTCGATATTTTTCACAATCTTGGTTTGTGTGGTAGTTACTTTAAGGATATTGTTTTTAATTGTTCTATGAATCTGTAGTCGTTTCGTTGTATCATGACCTGCCTTGGATGTGAATGCGGAGAGGTGCTGCATAAATTATTTATTTAAATCTATTTATTTATTTTGGGATTTTTATTCCACTCTCCCCAAAGCGGGCTCAGGGCAGATCACAACAAATTGAGTCAGAGGGTCATTGCGGTAGTCACATTAAAATCATTAAAACAATAAACAATAAAATTGGTGGCAACGATGTACATCTGTTGGGGACACAGGCAGTAGCTAGTTTCAGAGCTTTCTTTCTACACATACCCCTTTCTTTATGGTTTCGGTCGGGATCTTCAGCATGGGGCCTGAGGGTACCATGGTGCCCACTGGCACCTTTTCTGGCATTAGCCAAGTGTTTTCTGGAAAGTGGGCAGGGCCAGGTGAGTCTTTTGCCCTGCAAGTCTTCTGATTGCCTGTGCAGATTTTCTTTCTTTGGCAGCAGCTACCACTGCAGCTCTAAGACCTTCACTATGTGACTGACGGTAAGCTGTAGCATCCATTTTATGGCTGGCTACACCTCCTGTGTAGGCTTCCCAAGTCCCCCCGGGAGACGGGGAAACCCCCGCCCCAGAGGCCCGTTCCCCGCCGCCGCCGGATCAGGCCCTGGGGGGAACTCCTCCCCAACGTGCGTGTCAACTGGAAGTGACGCAACCACGCCGGGCTTGCTGGGGGCGGGGCCACGGCCATCCGAGGGAAAACTCTATGGTTTTCCCTCATATGGCCGTGGCCCCACCCCCAGCGTGCCTGGCGTTGTCACATCACTTCCGGGTGACGTGCGTGCAGCGCGCGCACCAGACACCGGCCGGGTGCCCCCCGCTCCCGGCGAAGATGGACTTGGCAACCCTACTCCTGTGGAAGCCATTTTGGTGGCTATTTTGTGGCTGCACCCACCACACCATGTCAGAATTCCAAAGGTGCCCGCAGGCTCAAAAAGATTGGGGACTCCAGGATTAGATAAACACAGTGCAGTGTGGGATATTATCATTCTATGCATGGCCCTGCCCTACATCACATCATTGACTGTCAGGATGAAGCAGTACTATGCACTGTGACATCAACTTTCATGTGTTTTGAGAACATGTTATGAAGAAGAGGAGGTTACTTGGAGTATTCCTCATAATGTCTATTTAAGCCCTTAAGAAAATATGTTTTCTGCCATATTATGTTGTATTTTTAAAAACCGTTGTGTTGTGCTAGTGAGTTCCCTCCAGAGGTGTTGAAGAACACGTCTATGCAATTTTCCCACCTTAAAAGAAAAGCACATATTGATTAAAGCGTAAAGGGAAATGGTGTTTTCTTGCTTTAAGTTCTCTGTATAATAGCATTGTCAAGCATCGCAACTAGCAAATCACTAGGGATTTGAGAACAGGGCAGAAGACTGTTAAGAACAAAGCCATTATGTTTTTATTACTTAAGGGTATCCCTCTCTGTCAGATTCAGAATTGTGGTTTTATTCATTCTTCTTGAGTGGTTCTCTGGGGAAAATGGGCCTATAAAGTGATTTAGAAGTGTGAGAATACACCAGGTAAAGTTCACAAATTGCCCCTACACTGTGGCCTTGTTCAGGTGGCTGAACAACAACATACACGGCAGATCCATGATCCTTTTTTTAAAAAATTGGAAAGCAGTCACAGGGAAGGAGGTTTGTACTGGGGTCACAGCACAGGGTTGACCCTCTTAACCAGGGCTTTTTTTGTAGAAAAAGCACAGCAGGAACTCATTAGCATAACAGGCCACACCCAACAGCAGAAACTCATTAGCATAGTAAGTCACACCCCTGACAGCACAGCACATTAGCATATTAGGCCACACCCCCATGCCACCAGAAGTGTGGTCATCCAGCCACGCCCACCTTTTGCTTGTTATTCTGTTTACCTTGTTTGTTGTCAAAACCCAGGGCCTTTTTTTGCAGCAGGGACTCCTTTGCATGTTAGGCCACACCCCCTAATGTAGCCAATCCTAATGAGTTTCTGCTGTTGGGTGTGGCCTATCATGCTAATGAGTTCCTGCTGGGCGTGGCCAACTCAGGAGCCAGCCAGAACTCCGTTCCTGTGCGTTCCTGCCCAAAAATAGCCCTGCTCTTAACCCTGTTCCTCAGGCCAGTAGCTGTAGCCTCTTGAGAGTACCAGTGTGATGTAGTAGTTAGAATGCTGGACTGTGGCCAGAGAGACCTGGGTTCAGATTTATTATCTGGTCATGAAGCTCAATGGGCAACCTTGGAGCAATCACACTTTTCCAGATTTCCCTCATAGGTTCACCGTGAGGATAAAGATGAGGAGTGAAGGCCCATATATGTCACCCTGAGCTCTATTGGGGAAGTGTGCTAGATAGTGTGTTCTTCCCACCCACCCAAAAAATCCCCCAGAGCTGCTGTTTATTCATAGTAAGACAGGTTCTGTAGGGTGTAGTACAAATCAGAGGGGGGAGATTTCTATTAAAATGTGAATTAATCTCCTCCACTTGCTGCTCATCCCCAATACAAATTCCAGAGAGAGTGAGGATGCTCCTTTATAACATTTACAAAGTGTTAGGAGATTCCATCATGGGTCTGGCAGGCAGAGTAAAAACTGACCCTCACTGTGGTGGAAAATTTGCATCTCTGCTATGCATTTCACAACTTATCTGGAGACTCTCACAACGGAATAGTCTTCTATACAGAAGGGATTTCTTTGGTATGCAAAAACTGATGTCAGGGCTAGCAGTGTATCCTTCTCAGTATGTTAATTTTCTGCTTGGATAAACCTTTGTGCAGGAGAGCTTTCTATCATGACACCCTCCAACTGGTAGCTATTGATTTTTTTTTTTATCCCACCCTCACGCCAAGGATCTGAGAACTGCATTCTTGTGGTCCTCGCAACAACCCTGTGAGGTATGCCAGAGAAAATGATTGGCCTGAAGTCACCCAGTCAGCTTCAGGGCTGAGCAAGGATTTTAAGGCAGGTCCTAGTCTGATACTCTAACCGCTACACACTGCTGGTTTTATGTTCTAGCATAGTTGCTTGAATGAGATGCAGCCAACCATTGTGAGTATCAAGATTCAGTGGCATAGCTGTAATTGGTCCATTTACACCAAAATTAGCTTAGGGGGCTGTGTTGTTCAGCTTCTATTTGTTATTCTTCTTGACTTTTCAAATGGAAAGCTTAATGTTTAACCCCATCGTGTTTGTAAAACACCTCATAAAAATCCTCAGCATTTTTTTTCCAAATTAAAATGTCCAGAGAACTAAAGAACATTGGCAGCCATATTCTTACATTGTCTGGCGGTGCTTTAATAGCACCATAAAATATTCAAGATTTGAAAGAAACCTTATATGCAAACATGCTTGGTTATTAGTGAAAGGGCCATGGCTCATAGCAGCTGTTGTGAGGATCAAGTCCTATCAGGTGGGAGGCGATGTGACATACCTCTGGCAGAGAGACCCTGGACAGCCACTGGCAGTCACAATAGACAATACCTTGGGGGGCAGTGTTCCCTCTAAGCTGAGTTAGTGTGAGCTAGCTCACAGTTTTTTAGCCTCTGGCTCACAGATTTTTTTCTCAGCTCAGGAAGGGAGGGCTCCAGAGCACACTGATTTAATGCAGCAGCCAAATCGCTGGCTCAGAACTTTAATGCCAGTAGCTCACAAAGTAGAATTTTTGCTCACAAGACTCTACAGCTTAGAGGAAACATTGCCTTGGGGAGAGCCTCTGCTTGGCATGCAGAAGGCACCAGCTTCAATCCCCGGCACCTCCAATTAAAAACAGGTAGCTGTGTTACAAAACACCTCTGCCTGAGACTCTGGGGAGCTGCTGCCAGTCTGAGTAGACAAATACTGACCTTCATGGACCAGTGTTTCTGGTTCAGTATAAGGCTGCTTTATGTATGTGGTAAAACAGTCCTCTGATTCATTTTAAGGAAGCTTCATCTGTTGATTTTGGTCATCATATCTGTTGACTAGGGTCCTGTAACAGGACAGTTTTTCAACCAGTGACCTTGGGCCAATCTCCCTCATCCTAACCTTGTGTGTAAAGTGCTGTCAAGTCACAGCCGACTTGCGGCAACCCCAGCAAGGGGCTTTCAAGGCAAGGGAGAAGCAGAGGCGGTTTGCCATTGCTTTTCTCTGCAGAGCCTTCCTTGTACTGACCCTGCTTAGCTTCCGAGATCTGACAAGGTTGGTTTATACCATGCCGCCTTCCCTCCTCTTCCTAACCTACCTCACAGTTTTTTGTGAGGTTAAAATGGAGGAGGGTAAAACAATATAGGTCACCTTCGGAGGAAGGGCAGAATAAACATGTACTAAATAACCACATTTAGGCCCCAGTCACACAGGCCGGATATCGCGGGGGGGGGGGAGGCGTGGCTGTTTGCCCCGGAACGAACTACTGCGCGGAAGCAGGATCAAATGTCCCGCCAATGTCCCGTGGTTGGGGGGAGGTGCCGATCATACCTCACTCCTGTGGCGCGGCAAAGAAGCGGCGCCGCGGGGGTTGTATTGTGTTTTTTAACCCAAGTGTTTGCATGCACCGTTGGGTACTTGTGTGCACCCGTGGAGACTTGACCAAAAAAAATTTTCGCGGCGGGACATGGGCGGGCGCCGGATGCCACGAGCTAACACCGGAAACG